CTGGAGCTATGCTGATCCGAAGCCAGGAGCCAGGTGCTTCTCCTGGTCTCCCATGCGGGTGCAGGGCCCAAGCACTTGGGCCATCCTCCACTGCCCTCCCGGGCACAGCAGAGAGCTGGATTAGAAGTGGAGCAACCAGGACTAGAACCCAGTGCCCATATGGGATGCTGGCGCGGCAGGTGGAGGATTTACCTAGTGTGCCATGGTGCCGGCCCCTCAGCTCTTCCCTTTAGGGATGTGTGCTTGGGTTGCTTGAAAACCGTGCATGGGGCGGTGGGGGGTGGGGGCAGAGTGTAGTTGGGATGTTACACAATCAAATGTTTGATAGGAACCAGGTGTGCGTCTCTTGCACTTGGCTGCTGTAAGAGCAAACTCCATGTCCTGCTTTGTGTGTAGATGTGCAGGGTCCACATGCAGGACAGGGATGTTCCGCGCTGCTTGCTTAGCTCTGGGAGGCGTCTCGAAGAAGGGAGTGAAGCAGCCAGCAGAGGCTGCACACGAGCAGAGGCCGTGCGTTCAGAGGAGGTGACAGGGTGTCAAGCTGAGCATCTCGAAGGAAGACTAAGCCGAGATGCGGAAAAAAAACTTTACTTTTTAAATTTTATTTATTTATTTTTTATTTGACATAGTTAGTGAGAGAGAGAGAGAGAGAGACAAAGAGAAAGGTCGTCCTTCCGTTGGTTCAGCCCTCAATGGCCGCTATGGCCTGAGCTACACCAATCTGAAGCCAGGAGCCAGGTGCTTCTCCTGGTCTCCCATGGGGTGCAGGGCCCAAGCACTTGGGCCATCCTCCACTGCACTCCCTGGCCACAGCAGAGAGCTGGCCTGGAAGAGGGGCAACCGGGACAGAATCCGGCTCCCTGACCGGGACTAGAACCTGGTGTGCCGGTGCCACAAGGCAGAGGATTAGCCTATTGAGCCACGGCGCTGGCCCCAAAACTTTACATTTTTAAAGAGCTCTTAACTGGAAGCCTTGGTTGACATCTGCTTGTTCCTTAGATACAGAAGGTACAGCATCCATAGCCTTGAGTTACAGGAAATGGGTTGCCATCAATCTCTCAGGGCTCCTTGTCCCGATCCTAGGCATACAGCCATGCATGGGGGCAGGAATCCCTTTCCTCACAGGGTTAATCCATAAACTCATATGTCACATAAAGAAGTGGTTCAGTATAGGAAGGTACTTGAAAAAGCTGATGGAAATGTGGAATTAAAAGGTAAAATTTATGTTTGTGCAAAACACTGGAGTCTAATGCATTGTTTTTTTTGTCATAAGATATGTTCTCCTTGATGTTCTGAAGACCCCTCGTGTGCACCAAAATAACCTTATCTTTTCACTCCGTTTCCCATGAACTTTCTGACCCCGCCCCCGCCCCCCCTCCACCATACACAGACTCTTTCAAGAGTGAGGCTCTGAGAGCTGACTGGCTCGTCATGCTCCGAGCTCCCAGCTCTGCAACAGAAAACCAAAGGAGATGCCAGGTTCTGCTTGAGGGTCTGTACAGGGTGTGGAGTCCTGGTGGCCACCAAGAACCAGGACTCCTGTTTTCCAGGACGAAGCAAAAAGGCAGTCTAAGGAGCAGCTGAACTGATTTCTCGGGGGAAAGCCAAGGTAGAAGGCCAGAGAAGTGGCCTGAGCACGAGGTGCGCGAGAACCGCAAAGTGTCACGAGGAGGTCACTGTGTATCCAGGGAAGGGAAGAGCAGGCGTGGTCAGGTGCACGGTGTGAGACTGGGGCCGGCCAGCCGCCACTCAGCCTGGCAGTGGCACGGGCAGGCTGCTGCTGCTGCTGCTGGGAGCTCACTGCAGTCCAGAGGGCCCTGGCTTGACTCGGACAGGCCCGGGCAAGAGGTCCCATGACCATGTGTCAGGTGCTGGAGGTGGGACTTGGGATGGACCTGGTCCATTTGCTGCTCCAGCCCGTGTTCCTCTGTTGCGTGGCCCTACGAAGCTCCACTGCAAATCTTGCATCGGGAACCTTTGCTCTCTGGAGTTCAGATAACAGCTGCAGATTGGAGAGGGGGAAATGAGTGAGCTTAGGATGCCCTTGCCCTCTGCTGCCTGTGGGCTTCTGTGTTCTGTGGCTGAGGGTCACAGCTTCTCTTAAAGTGTCCCTGTGGGGGGCCAGTGTTGTGGCGCAGTAGGTTAAGCCACTGCCTGCGATGCCGGCATCCAGTATGGGTGCCGGTTCATGTCCCAGCTGCTTCACTTCTGATCTGGCTCCCTGCTAATGCGCCTGAGAAAGCAACAGAAGATGAGCCAAGTGCTTGGGGTCCTGCCACCCATTTGGGACACCCGAATGGAGTTCCAGGCTCCTGGCTTCGTTCTGGCACAGCCTTGGCTGTTGCGGCCATCTGGGGAGTAAACCAGCAGATAGAAGATCCCTCTGTCTTTCCCCCTCCCTGCCTTTCCTTTTCCTGTGTACTTCACTGTCCCTTCCAGGATCCAGGATCCTCTCCCTGTCCTCCTCCTTCCAAGCCAGGAGGTGAGACCAGAGTGATTAGTTCCAGGGCGCCATTCTAGGCCTTATTGTTGTCCTACGTCTTTCCCATCCCTCTATCGTTAAAACATTAACTTTTCCTTTAACTGTGCCAGGATGAAGTGTCCTCTGTCCCTTGGTTGAGCCCTGCTGATGCAAGATTCTAGATTGAGTGAGAAGATGAACAAAATGATTTCTTTTAAGATTTATTTTACTTATTTGAAAGGCAGAGTTATAGAGAGAAGGGGAGACAGACAGAGAAACAGAGAGAGAGAGAGAGAGAGAGAGAGAAAGAGAGAGACAGAGATATCTTCCATCTGCTGCTTTACTCTCAAATTGGCCACAATGGCTGGGGCTGGGTCAGGCTGAAGCCATAAGCTGGGAACTCCATCCGGGTCTCCCACATGGGTGGAAGGGACAAACAGGCACCTACATGGGATGCCAGCATCACAGGCAGCAGCTTAACCCACTGTGCCACACGCTGAATCCAAGCTAAGTGATTTCTGAGGGGGCTTGTAGTTCAATGGCTCTGGATTTCTTATCCCTGACCTGAGATTTTTATGTACCCAAGAGTGATGGGGATTAGCTGTCTGCACCTAGAAACTCCTGCAAATATTTTATTGTGTGCATGAAGTTCATTTAGAGACTTGAGATTTAGTTTTGTCACATAATATACATGATTTACTATTTTTATGAGGATTTATGTTTGGGGGCTGGATTCCAGCTATTTTTCAGTTACTCTCAGTATGTGCTTTAGTGTCAGCTAGCATCTTTACTGCTCCTACATCAAAGAACAAAAAGGATCTTACACTAGTCAAACAACTACTGCCCAGACATTGGCAAGTTCATAAACTAGCTATAATTAATCCTAAGTGTTTCTCATAAATAAGCTACTGAGTTACACTGTGATCCACTCTGGGAAGACTGAATAGTTGAGGCTCTTTAGAGATGTCCAAGAACCTCAAGAAAAGAATGGAGAGACTGCACTGGGAGCGTGACTGTGAAGTGCATTACTTTTATATATATATTACTTGAAAGGCAGGATGACAGAGAGAAGGAGAGGCAGAGAGACAGAGAGATCTTCCAGCTGCTGATTCACTCCCCAGATGGCCACAAGAGCCAGGGCTGGGCCAGGTGGAAGCCGGGAGCCAGGAGCTCCACTGGGGTCTCCCACGTGGCGGCAGAGGCCCAGCTTCTGCTTTCCCAGGCACTCTGTTTTGGTTGCCGGCGTCACAGGCGCTGGCTTCATTGGCTGTGCCATGATGCCGGCCTCAACGTATGTGACTTTTGAGGGCGAGAATCTGCAGGAAACCTGCTGTCCTCTTAGTTAAGCATAAGCCCCACTTGACTCAGAATAGGAGGAGGTTGCTACTGCTGAGTTTGACTTTGAGGTGAACCTACTTCTCCCGAGCGGCTGTCTTTTAGTTATGTTTGGTGAGATGTTTATGGACGAAAGGACCTGGCTGTGGTTCGCTCCAGGGCAGTTCAGCAGGAGAAAGGATGGAAGCAGAGGTAAAACAAGATTGACAACAAATGGATAACGACTGAGAGAGGGTAATGGAGAAATGAAGGGCCACTGTGTCAGTTTATGTATTTTAAAGATGTATTTTTCATTCACTTAAAAGGCATAGAGACAGAGAAAGAGATCATGCATCCCCTGTGTCACTGCCCAAATGCCCACACGACCCACTGTTGGATCAGACTGAAGCCAGGAGCCCAGAATGCCATCCAGGGACCCAACTACTTAACTCTCTCTGCTGCCTCCCAGGGTGCGCATCAGCAGGAAGCTGGATTGGGAGGTGGACTTGAGATTCCAGCTCCACAGTGTGAAACAGAGGCAGCCTAAGCAGTGCCTTGGCACTGTGCCCAATGCACTCTGCTTTTGTGTGATTTTGGAATGGTCAAACAAATATCAAGAGCTAAATAAATAACTAATTAAATATAATGGGGGGGTGTGTGAACCAACGGAAGGAAGACCTTTCTCTGTCTCTCTCTCTCTCTCTCTCACTGTCTACTCTGCTTATCAAAAAAAAAAAAAAAAAGTAAGTGAGGAGTGTTATTTTTGTGAAAGGTTGATCGAAACATGCTTAGTGGAAACCATCCAGATGATTTTATCCAGAATCCACCTGTGGAGTATCCGTTCATGTCTGGGAAGGGAAGTAAATATCCTATGCTTGTTGGAAAAGATACTCTGGGTGAGATTGTTCCTAAATAACTCTAAGTGGGAAAAACTGGGTGAGGTTAAACCTGAATTAGGATTGGTTGTGAGTTAACATTTTCAGATTTGGGGGATGGATACAGGGGAGTTCATTGTCCTAGTCTGTATCTTGACGTTTTCCATAGAACGGTTGAAAATAAAGCAGGTACTGCACATGTAACACGTCACCATTCTGCATGAAGAAAGCACTAACTTTTGCCGTTGTATGAAATGCAATATGGCACTATCTCTGTCTCACCTCCTTAGGTTATGCATTTTCTACTATAGTACTCTTCATCCACCTCTTTCCTCTTTCCCACCCTTTAGTTTTGTCTGCTGCATGGAACGAGACTGGTGTTCCAGGAGCGAGCCTGGTATTTAGAACATAAATACTTGACCCCCGTGGCCAGCACAAGGATCAGGAATCAGGTAAGGTGTCCCTGGGGTGCAGAAGAAAGTCCTTATGGTGTGACTCTTCCCTTTCTAAGAAAACAGTCCTACCAGTCTTCTATCGGTTTCCACTCGTGGATTTGGATGCCTCTGGGACCTCACCTGCCTGCTTTTATTGCGTAGCATGATCATCTTACATCTCGGACTTAAAGTGACAAGGGAGTCATTCACTGTGCGTGAGCGTTCTGACATCAAAAGCAGAGGAGACGATGAAAACTCTTTTCCTTGCCTTTGGCCAAAACAAAAATGAATGATTTTTATTTTTCCGCTTCTTACCAAAACCAAGGTAGCCATGGGAATTCAGTATGATAGCTACCAAGCTCCTGGAAACGAGGGCAGGGCCTGTGAATCACCAAAAAATTCTCCTCTGTAAAGAAAGCTAATAGGAGGCAGCACAGTCCTCCGTCAGACTCTTTCTGGGCCCGCCGTCTCTGCAGGCCGTCTGTTAGACGATGAAACTCAAACGGGTGTAAGACATGGGCTCCCCGTTCAAGAGAGGTCTTGGGAACATAAGCCCAGGTCCCCTTCTGCGAGGGTAAAGGCTTTCCCCTGCACTTAGCCATCAGATTAGGTTCAGAGTCACAAGGACAGGTGATTTAGGAGTGGGCGTCATCCTTGTGCTAAAACGTGCAGGGTAGAGAATGAGGAGAGCAGAGGTGGTGGCTCAGATGAGGGGAATTGCAACTGAGCCCGCAGGCAGAGCTGCTGAAGGGAGTGAGATCGGAGAAACGGGAGTACCGAGGACGCATATGTTCAGAAGCCGTGAGGAGTCCGTCTGGCTGACGTTTCAGGTGACAGAAAAACCTGGAGAAGTCTGCAGGATCCAGGACCCACTGGGCCCTGCAGAACCTTGAAAAATCTGTTTCCTTTTTAGGAAAATGGAGACCATGGAGGCAAGTACATTTAGGATGTTCCAGTCATCTATCGTGATGTAGCAAATGCCCCAACTGTGTGGCTCAAAACAACCACCACTGATTATTTCTCTCGATTCTGAAGTCTGCGTAGGGCTCAGCTAGGCAGTTCTTCTGCTGCACTTGGTTGTGTCCAAAACGGCTTCTTCACTCAGCTGAGGACTACCGGGCAGTTGTCTCTGTCACCGTGGCCTCGCTGGGGCTTACTCGCAGTGTGGTGGTCTCAGGGTGGTTGAGTGTCTTACGTGATGGCTGGGTTGCAAGAAGGAGCAGGTGGAGGATACCAGCCTTCTGAAAGGTGAGACCCAAAACAAGTGCCGGGGCATTTCCTCTGAATTCTCTTGGCCGGAGGAGGTCACAAAACCAGCACAGACTCAGGGCTGCAGGGGGACACTTCACTTCTCAAGGTGAGGAGAAGCGCATGCGTGTAGGGGTGGTATCGCAGTCCACTTCGTGTGGCTTTGCTAATTACCAGAGTCTTGGTAATTTATAAAGGACAGAGATGTGGTTATTACCATTATAGAGGCTGGGAAGTCCAAGAGGAAGGGAAGACATCTGATGAGGGTCTTTGTGCTGCTTCATCACATGGGAAAAGGAGGAAGAGAGGGAGAGAGAGAGGGAACAAGAGAGCAAGAGGGGACACAACTTTCTTTGGTAACAAATCTGCTGTCAAGATAATGAATTACTCTGCAGAAATGAAGTTAATCCATTTGCGGGGTGCAGAACCCCCATGAGTTCATCAGCCCTCATTAGTCGCACACCCAACACTGCTGCATTCAAGATTAAGTTTCCAACACATAAACTCTGGGAAGAACATCCAAACCATAGCGAAGGAAGAGAATTGATGGCACCTATCTTTGGAAGCAATCTTGCACAAAGAGCACACTCACATTGGGAGATGGAAGGAGAATGCTTTTTAATTAAAGAAAGAGAGAGAGAAAGACAGAGAGAGAGAGAGAGATGAATATTTTAAATCTATTCCACCAGGTGTATCAGTGATGTAGAATTAAATGAGTAATACATCAGAGGGATGTTGAGTAAAGTAAATGAACTTGTACATAAAACACTGAGGTGCTCTTGTCTTCTTATAGCGCAACACACTTTCTACACTTTTTATTAACTGGATCTTCAGAGCAACCTGGGAGGAGTCACTTTGGAACAAGCTCTATCTGTAGGGTTCCAGGTGACACAGGTCTAGAGGACATTTCAAAGCTTTCTCTGTCGTATTTCTGAGCTACCACCCCTGTCCCCAGTGGAGCCGGCACAAATGCTTCCTTTCCCATGTCCATGACACCCCTTTGCAAGGGACTCGAAGCTTCAGAGAAATTATTAATGCAATTTTTTCACAGATTGTCTGGAAATGGCCAATGCTTTTAGGGAAAATGTAGTTTTTTAATATTCCCAATCTTCCTTAAATTTTAGTTTTTTTGTTTTGAAGCTATCTCCCTTATTTTTACCCAAATATTGTGGTTGCTTGCAGCAGAAAGGCTGGTCAGAGAGAAATCGAGTCCTCTCTTGTCAGAAACAAAAGTCACTTTCCTGTTCTTCCACGTGAACCCACAGCAGCCCTGTGCATGGTTGTCGTCATCCCTTCACATAGATGAGGAAACCAAGGGCCAAGCGGGAAAGCACCTTGCCCCGAACGACACAGCTGGTCAGAATCCATACTTTTTGGACTCCACACATTTTCATTGATTTCTGTTGGATAAAAATCAACACCAGCTGGAAGCAGCAAGCATTCTCTGTGCCCAGTTCTTGGTTTTGAATACCGTCCTCTAATAGAAAGCACCCGGGTCCTTGGAAAAATGTCCAATTCTAGGCTTGGGCGGTGAATATCCAAGATGAGCCTGGAGCGTTTTCTAATGCCTTCAAGCAAGAGAGTGCTCCCAGAATCCACAATGAGGGGCTACAGAAGCCAGCTGAGTTTCCAACAGCCAAAGCTGGAACCATTTAAACCACAAAATAAATAATATGCTATTGGATTATTACTCAAGGTATAAAATAATTAAGCATAGTCCTTAATGAAATAAATGATTCAACAACTAAATAGATTGGGGGGAAGACAACTTTCCTTATAGAGGAATTCTAGATAATCTAGTTAGATTGTGCTGTGTCCATTCTCCTTCCCTTGTGGGAGGGTTGGACTCAATGAATTGCTTTTATTTTGAATAAGAGAGCATGGGAAGGAGCAATGGGCACTCTACAGTGGACAGGCCTGGCAGATCCCACCTCCTCTCAGTAATGAAAGTTAGCATCACCAGTGATGATCACACGGATGAGATGTCATGAGAAGACATGACACAGATCCCGCCCACAGATCCATAAGTCAAGTCTAGTTATCAGAAACATGAGACAAAGCTAACTTGAGAAACTGTCTGCACAGTACCTCACAGTGTCCCCTCAAAACTGACACTGCGTGAAGACAAGGCAAAATGGTGAAACCAGCCTGGGGCAGAAGGGAACAAAGAGACACGGTGACTACACATGAGGTGGAATCCTGGACTGAATCCCACAACAGGAAAAAGGCATCAGTTGAAAAAGTGGTGAAATATGAACAAAGTCTGTAGTTTAGTTAACAGGGATGTGCCAACACTGGCTTCTTAGTTTTCAGAGTGGACCATAGTTATGTAAGATGTTCCTGTGAGGGAGAAACTGGGAGAATATATGGGGAAGCTCTCTGGATTATCTTTGGAACTTTTCTTAAATCTAAAAAGATTCCAAAATAAAATACTTATAACCAAAAAACAAACAAACAAACAAACAAACAAAAAAAAAAAAAAAAAATAGGGCAAGAGCATGAGTGTTGGCCAAAAATAAAACTTTTAGGAACATATAGAGTTATGCTGAAACTCTAGTCTAATAAGGATTCGAAATGCATGTATTTATACTTTGAAAAGTGTGTCTCATTTCATTCTCGTAAAGATCTCCAAGGTAAGCAAGGCTGGTGGAACCCCCATTCAACAGATGAGGAAAACTAAGACACAGAGAAGTTATGCAGCTGTGCAAGATTCTAGCGGGACACTGACACTGGAACCCCTAGTCCCGAGTGGGGGCAGACCCAGCACAAGACAGCAGGCACTGATAGCCCAGCATCTTTGCTAGGAGCACCGCAGAGCCTTCAGGCCTACCTGATATCCCAAAACAGGCAGAAATCCACCCACAGAGTCAGAGTCGCAGAGAGCGCAGTTGTCCAGCTGAGGCCCACAAGAGTTGGGTTGGACTTTGTTTTGCTTTGTAAGGTCAAGCCATCCCGATAGCCCGTCAGACGCGATCACTTGCTCCCGTCTTTTGTCTGGGAATTAGGTCTTACATCTTGTGTAGTCGACATAAGTACCCCCAGTAGATGCCAGGAAGCTCAGGTCGACCAGGTGCTTCATTAATGAGGGGAAGCCAAGGGCTCTTTGGAGGGTATGGGCCTCCTGTCCCTGGCCAGGCAATTGTCACCAGGACTGGGAACAGGAGGAGCTGCTCTCCCTACCCCGATCCCTTTGTCACAGGGCTTTGGATCCAAGACGGTCCGGCATTGGACTGTCTGGAGCTCCATCATGAGCAAGCCGCTGGCACAAGCTACCTGTGTCTGGTCCATGCAGTATTTCCACAGGGGTCTGCATAGGACAATTATGTTCTTTGTTCCTGGAAAATTTAGTGTCCAGACATTATCCTGTTTCAGTCTTCATTAACCCAGACATTTGTATTTATTTTGTTACAGATAATTATCAGCATTACAGAGTTGTAACTGAGTTGTCAGCAGAGGCTCATTTTTAGGAAGAAAGTCTTTACAAATAATCCGAGGGTTAACAATTGTGTGCCTCTATTAAAACAAACTTCATTTCACTTTTATAGAACAGAATCACAATCTCAGCATCTTAAAGTGGGGTATTCGACTACAAATGGATCCTTGGCTGTGAGTCTGTTTATTTTGCATCATCCCTCAAGGAGGCTTGGGTTGTAGACAGAGCAGCCTTATTCTGCACCTTGGGAGCCTGGGCGCAGCTGCCCACCTCCATCAGAGCCCCTCTGCCTTGGGACAGGGATTCTTAGTGATGAACGGAAAGCAGTAAGCCCTTG